AGAGCAATGTTTTAAAGTCCAAATGGCCCAAAACATGAAACAAAAAAGGGCCAAGTCCAACACCCCTCCTCCTCCTTCTTCCCTACGCGACTGGCGATTAATTGCCATTCAGCCTCCTCCATCTTCTTGTGGCTCTGCAAATGGCGATCAGCCATGCGATTATTTGCCTTTCAGCCTCCTCCTTCTTCTTGTGGCTCTGCAAATGGCGATCAGCCTCCTTCTTCTTCTTCTTCTTCTGGCTCTACAAATGGCGATTCTGGCAGCTTCCAACTCCTCCATCCCTGGCCGTGTCCGGTTGAAATCTGCCGCGTCCGACCCGTATTTCATACCTGTACCCGTGTAGTGTCGACACGGGTATGTCGACCAAAAAGACTAGTCTGAGCATCACAGGTTCTCTCAATGATCAACCTTCAAATTCACGTTCAAATGTGTTTTGGTATTTATAGGTACGTTAGAAAAGTAATGGGTCAGGGAAAAAGCCTTTAAATTGCAAAATAAAAATTTTCCAAACAACCCTGTCGTTCGAGCGAGAGCACAGCGACAATCGAGCGACAAGCTATCCCTTGAGCCAAGGCAGGGCGACAGTCAAGCGATGGAGGTTCTATTTTTGACGTTCGAGTCAATCCATGGCGACGGTCTAGCAAAAATCCGCGCTGTATTTTTCTTCTTTTGCCATACTCGAACCCTAGACCTAATAAACCTGTTTTCACATAATTGCACATTACTCGTTGACTTTTTACAACATGTACAATTAAATCCCTTTTGTTTATAGAATTGCCGATAACACAATTAAAAGCTAGCAGCAAGGATTGATGATTTCCTTCATTCTTAAGTATGTTGATAAATCTAAAATATTTATGAATTCCATCCAAAAAAAAATAATAAAAAAAAAATTGAGCTTTCCAAAGGGGTCGAATAGGCTAAACGTGTCATTGTGAGAGCAAGTAGAGACAAATTAAGCGCATATTACACTAGCACCACTTAGATAAATGACTATTATACTAATGATCCCTTCCAAAGCAGAATGTTACAGAAACTTCTTTTGCAATGATTTTACATAATTGATATTCTCTTTTAACAGTTTCCTAGACTTTTATTGTGCATAACGTGCATACATTTGTGCATATGACTAAACATTTGCCTTTTGACTGAATTAAATGGATACTAGGATCGACTATCAAAGCTAGATACAAATATCTTATTGAAAATAAAAATTACGCCTTATAATATATGGACAAGTTCGAGATAGGTCAATACTGCTGATGAGTGCATTTTGTACACCTATTTAAGTCATTTTATTTGGGTTTCATGTCGTCAAATTATTTATTTTTACTTAACTTGGGTTAATTTTCTTTTGTTTTAGTTTTGGACGTGTTCGAAGCAATTGGAAAGGAAAAATG